AGACGGCGATGGCGGCCTGGAGAGGTTCTGCAGCCCGGGCAAGGGACGGGGGCTGCGGGCCCTCCGGCCCTTCCACGTGGGGGACTTGCTCTTCTCCTGTCCGGCCTACGCCTACGTGCTCACGGTTAACGAGCGGGGCAACCACTGCGAGTACTGCTTCTCCAGGTAGGGCGGTTGGGCGGAGCGGGCGGCCGCCGGGGACACCGTGGCGGGAGGAAGTGCGCGCGGCGCGCGGGGTCCTAGCGCCGGGAGGCTTGGGCGGGGGATGGGGAGGACGCGGCGGCCGCCGGGCTTTAATCCCCGGCGGCGGGCGGGCGCCACGTGCCTTAGCCCAGAGCTGCTATGTTCCCGCTGCACGCTCCTCACGGCGCTCTGTCAGAGCTGCTCACGCCGGGTATGGAAACCCGAGAGCACAGGTCACTCACTGCCCGCAGACGTGGGCGCCGGGCCAACCTTGTTCCAGGCAGTTGCTGCCCACTCCACTTGGGTGTTTGACAGCGGGGCTCCAGATTGGGCAGCCACTGTCTCTTAAGATTCTTGGGCTGCGTTTTGCTTTCCACGGCCCACCCTCATGTTGTGCAATTTCCTCCAAGGAGGAACTTGGTGACTTAAATCCGTGTGAAGTGGGTGGCCACACGTCTCCCTCATAGTGTTTGAAGAAATGTTATATTTTGTCCACATGCCTTGGATTCTCAGGGGTCTAGCTTTGGTTTGTGACTGGGAAAACATAGATACTGCAGGATATATGGTTAGAGACTATTTAATTGCAGCATGTGAGGGGCGGGGGGGGGTGGATATTTACTCCCACCCACATTTTCAAGCCTTATGACAGTTTCACAGCTGGAAGTCACATCGAAACCGCATCTTCCTTCCTTTTAAGGTTGAGAAAACTGAAGCCCAGAGAGTAAGTGTGATTGTATAAATTCATACTCATAGATAGGGCAGGAAACTCACTCTCTTTTGGTTCTGCATATTCCCCATCTATAGTTAGGTGCTCAGTAAAATTTACTAAGGCGGGAGGCTTGACCGCCTTCCGCTGTTCTTTGAGGAAGGCGTCTCGCTTGAGTTTCTTTAAACCTCAGTGTTTTCATCTTTGAAATGGAGATTCCTGAATGGAGACTAAGCAGACCTGAGGCCTTGCAGGTAGAAGAGTCAGTCCTGTGCTCCAGTCCCACTGAAATACAGCATCTCCGAGATCCATGTGTCTTATTCAACAATAAGATGTAGGGGGGGAAAGGGGACAGAGGCTAAATGTTAGAGTAATCTTGCCTAGACTCCCTGCCAGAACTGTCTTCCACTTGGGGGACCTGGAAAGAAACTAGACACAGAATCATGCAGTGGGCAGATTCAGGGCTGTATGTGATGTGGCTCTTTGAATTGGTGAGCCAAGAGCTAAAGGGTCATGGCACCACTTTGCGACATTTGAGTGAAGTGAGCATTGGGTTTTCCCAAAGTTAAAAAGGCTGCTGTGACTGGTCCCTTGATCTTCCGAGCCTTGCTGTGGCTCAGAGTCTGCTGCAGTGTGGGTGTCTGTAGTGACAGGAGCAAAGCACTTACCCCCCCCAGCCAAGAAGGAGCCTCTGTCTGTATCTTGGGAATTGGTTCCCAGGCCATCTCATGAGGTAGGGATGTGAGTGCCAGGGACTAGTATGTGCTTACATAATAGTTGCCCATCTACTCCTCCAGTGAGCTAAAGATCAAATCGTTCCATGTTCAGAGGGAAAAAAAGAACTGAGCGATTCTCTTTAGCTGTGAGTCTCCTAACTTGATCTGCTGTACACCCCCAACCTTAGACCATTAAGGTACAGTCAAATGCAACTTCACAAGTCATTCAGACACAATTATTCTGACAGGTATAACAAAGTTTCCTCTTTTCCTTTCTTCCTTCATTTTTCTGATTGACATTTGTTAGTGTCTCATTGATGTTTGTTGCCTCACGTCCCCACCAGGGCTGCCAAATGCAGTGAAGTAGTACTATTCTACGCACTCATCCAATTTTGGTATAGGTGGACTTTTATCAATGGCTGCAGGCTCCCCCCTCAGTCTCCACATTTGAAGTAAACTAATAAATATAATAGACAATAAATAATACACCTCCGAGACCCATGAAGGGAACTCTTGTGGCCTAATGGGTAATGCCAACCCAAAAAGCAAGTGGTTCGAATCGCTAGCTGAAAATCTGCTCGAGAATAAGTTATAAGTAGGTTCTAACTCAACAGCAATGACTTAAGTTGTTGACACCCATGACATTAGAGATATCTTTGTACCACACTCTGTAATTTTTGTTAAATCTGATCAGTTAGAATTAGTGGTTAGGTTGATCTAGTGTTGTACCAGTTCCTTTGTATATGACTAAGGTCAGTTCCACCCCATCCTGCTATACAATAAATGGAGTGATAGTAAACATCCAATAAGTGCAATAAAGAGAATACCTCTAAAACAGAGCTTTGAACTGGTTCTTCACAGTTCATTGTTGGCTGTCACAGTGAAATCATAATGGATCTGAATTGGTAAAATGTGAGGTACAAGAGAAGTAACCAGAACAGGAACAATTAAGCATCAGTGCCATGCTAGAAATTTCATCTCTGTCTTAGAAAACAAATGCAGCTTGCCAACCAAATATCTTAACCAGCAGAGTAGGAAATGGTGCCGGCTCAAAGGTGGCAGACAGCTGTACCGCTTAGTATGTGTGCGGCTCTCCATACCCCTAGCAACTAATGAACCAATCTCCAATTTTAGGCTTGAGAGCGAGCTCACTACACCTCTTTCAGTTCTCCCATTTCAAGGCTTTGGCAGTCATTTTACCTTTTCTGGTTATTGTTCAAGTACACCCACATTTCACAAATACAGTTCCTTTTCAGTTTCACCCCATTGGTCATAACTCAGCTAGTTCAGAGCCCTGTTCTACAGTGTCTCCTAGGACTAGGAGCAGAATTCTGTCAGTGCTGATACATAGAGGTAAAAATCCTCTACTTTTTCCTTACCTGCTCCCCACAGAAAGACTATTCTTTTCTTGTTCTGAAAGTTGAATGTAAGCATGATTGCCAACATAAATGACCCACTAGAGTATCAGAATGACTTTATTTTGAAGAAGGGGGCGGGGAAGTGCCCCTCCCCCCCGCCTTACTTCAAGAATAAGTATGTTCTTTATATTGGAAAATAATAGGAACTTGGGAACTCTGTCAGATCACAAAAGAACGATGAAGTTGTCCCTGTCCAGACAGTTAAAACAAACATGTGTTTTTGAAAGTTTTAAATTTTTTTTTTTTCATATTATGATGAATAGCACTTGGGAACATGCATATTCTACCTTTTTTTGCGTGGGTTCACCTCCTGAAGATGTAACTGTCTTCCAATTGAATGTCTCTATTGGATTATATGTGTGTCTTAATACACATATATATACATAGACACAAATATACTATATATATATATACACACACACACACACATATATACACATACACACACACACACACACACACACACATAATTTTGGGAGGATGTTGACATGTTGACTAAATTTTTAAAAAGATACATTGTATTTTTTTACTATTAGATATTTTAACACTTGCTGTTATTATCATAGAAAGGGAGAAAGCTACCATAATCCAATGTTGCATCTGAGTCTACATACTGTATGCAGTTCTGCAGAAGAATGTCTGTCTTCCTCATGGCTCTTTATTCCTTTGCCTCATGGATCACAGTGTCTTTTTTTGTATGGGAGACAAGGAGGAAGACCTTTAAAATAGGTTGTTGGAACCCAATTTTAGGGGATTTATATCTTTTCTGGCTTACCCAACTGGTTGTTTTGAAAATTAAAATGTTTTCATGAGCAGTACACTATGATTAAGATGTCGTATTTCAGCAATTATAAAGAATTTTTAACTAACACCCTCCAGATTTTTCTTGTAGCAGTATTCATCTTGTAGTCCACATTATTTTGCCAGATGGCTTATGTATTCTTTAGTTGATCTTAGTTTTAAGGGCCATGGAATCTTGTTGTTGCTTTCTAAAGACTCTGTGAGGCTGGCTTTGGTCAGCTACCACTCAATACAAGTGACTTTGTCTTAGGGCTCCTGCGATTCTAGCTATTTTGAGAATGCTGCCTTGAGAATTTGCAATCTCTGAAGAGATTGCTTCAGACATTTTAAAATTTTCATGTTCTCTGAATGACAAATTGGACAGATTCTCTGATAGTGGTTCCCTCCTCCTTTTAGTTATATTTTTGTAAAATGAGTAATAAGATTAAAACACACTGACAAAGCAGTTTTCCTCTACAGTCACAATACCAACTGCTGTCAAGTTGATTCTTACTCACAGTGACCCTAGACAGAGCAGAGCTACCCCAAAGGGTTTCCAAAGCGTCATCCCTCTCCCACAGAGCAGCTGGTGGATTTGAATTACTAACCTTTCAGCCCACAGTGCCACAAAGGCCAGTTCCCAGAAGACAGAACTCAGTCACATTCCTCCTTTCTCCAACTCCCATTTCTGATACCTGCTGCCCACAAAACCACTCTGTCCCAATTCAGGGTGAGGCCAGACCTTGAAAGGTAAGAGGACACTGTACTTGGGTTTGCAATCTTACTAGAGCAACTCACAATCACAGAAAATAATGAAATTTATAATATCTGACTGTATAATAATAAAAAGCTACAGAACAAGATTAGCACAACATGAGGCAGATCTAGGAAAGTTCCCAGTGCAGAGTGGCTTGTGTCAGATGGCATGTCACTCACACTTCCTGCCAGCTGTGATTATTATTAGGTGCCTTTGAGCCGAGTACGAGTCATAGCGATCCTGTGAACAAAAGATATGAACCCGAAGATGCCATCCTCTCACTTCATGATGCATGAGAGCCCATTGCAACAGTCACCATGTCAGTACACCTGGTTGCAGGTCTTCCTCTCCTTCTGCGACCCTCTACCCTTCCCAGCATCATATTTCTGAGGAATAGCACCTCCAAGCAACATGCTCAAAGTATGTGTGGTGAAGCCTCATCATTTCTGCCTCAAAAAAGCAATCCCGCTGCACCCTCTCCAGAACATGTTTATCTGTTCTTTTGGCGGTCTGTGAGATGTTCAGCGCTCTTCACCAACACCACGCTCAAAGGTGTTGATTCTTCTGTCATCCTTATTCATTGTCCAGCTCTCAGATGCACAGCC